AACGGCAGGGGGGGTGGCCCCCTGGCGTGTCGCCGCAGCCCCCCAGCACCCACGCGTAGAGCGATGCTCTGGTGCACCCCTCAGCAGAGGCTCTGGGCTCTGTAGGACAAGCATTTTGTCCAGGGTTGCCCTTTGGAGAGCCCAGTGACCATGGCTGTCTCCAACACCAGATGGAAGCACCCATCACGGGGCTGCTCTGCCCCCCGCACCCTCAGCGGGGACGTGCCAGGGCCCTCCATAGGGAGTCAGGAGAGCTGGATCCATCCCTGGTCACCTTCAGCCGGTCACTGCTCCCACTACATCTCTTGTCCCATCCAGAGAGTGATGTACCCCCGGGAACCTTCCACGACAGAGGAGCCCGGGCAGACAGACGTGGTGGGACGAACTGCCGTTTCCCAGGAGGGACGTTGGGTATCTGTCACCCTACGAGGGGACGGTGGGCTGCAAGTCTGCCAGGGGACAGACACCCAGCCACCCTGTGCCAGGGCAGATGAGAGGGGACAAGCAGGTCCCTCAGAAGGAGCCGTGTCCTTCGTGGTGTCCCTTCCCCAGGGGTATTTCCATCAGGAATTCTCTCAGGTCTGCTGGGCCGACTCCAGGCTCAGAGCTGGCTGTGCACTTCACGCTTGGCAGGCTCAGAGGAACACGGACATCCGTCTCCTCACGTAGCTCAAGAGCGGCAGGTCTGCACCACGGAGAGCAGGAATCAAGCTGCGGCTCTGGAGCATCGCGTCCACAGTCGCCCTGGAAAGGCTCGACTGGAGGAACCGCTGCGCAGCCTTGACCAGTGCCTACCTCTTCGAAGAGGACTGCAGAAACTGGAAATAATGGCGAATAAAAGTGTCTCTCTTCCCTCCGTGCTCCTAAAAACCAGAGCAAAGCTGGCATGTGGCGAGCCACAGAGACCTTCCTCTGCGAGAAGGCGGTGGAGTACGTGTTTTGGTTTGCGCCTGGGCTAGAAGATGCTGATGTGCACGTAGACATCACGCATGTCCTGATGCCACCCAGCTCACCGAAGGCTGCTGATTCTTTTCCACTCCTACTTCTCTACGGTATAAACAGCCACTTCAATTCCTGGTCAGCAAACCTCAGTGTTAACAGACAAGCACATCACTTTCAAACAAATACCCAAGGATTCCGACAGAAGCAGCTCTGGGGCCCGAAGCCAAGACGCACGCGACACCAGCATCTCCAACGGCTTTCTGTCTGCACAGCGGCCTCGGCACTGCACCTCAGCCCACGCAGCGGAGCAAGCCCAGGAGACCACTTCTACCCACCCCACAGAGGACATCTCCTCACAGGCTGAACAGGTACAGACACTCTACTCTCCGCAAGGCAGGGACGGGGAAGCAGCACCTTCCCTCAGCGCCATCCACAACCCACACAGAATGACAACTTTCGCCGTGAGTAAGCAGAAGAAAAGCTGACAGATCAGATGGGTAAGGTGGCACGTTCAAAACATCCACAGCGTTTCTCCAGGGTAAGGGACACGTAACGCATTTCGCTGGGGGATGACATTTAAGAAAAACAATTTCAGCGCACAGCCATCACTGGAAAAACCTTGGATTTACTGAAAGCTCTTTAAAACAGACTGAAAGGTCTCGATTGCTTTCTGGCCACTGCAGCGTTCAGACTACACATCTCAACGACATTTCTCCCTGGGGAAAACACGGGGTCATTTCCAACACGGTCCCGCTGCGTTGCGGGGATGAGATGAGCAGAGTCCCAGCTCACCAAGTCACCACCTCCTCGCGTCCTAGAAGGGAGCACTGGCTTTCCAGGACCTGAACTGGATCCCTGCTTCCCGGGGACCGCTGGGCAGGGGGGATGCCAAGGGGAGGGCAGCAGCCGTGCCCGTGTGTTCTGCACCAGCTGGGGCTGATGCAGGGGTCAGGGAAGAGGTGCAGAGCCACCCAGAACCCCAGCAGGCAGGATGGAGAGGCACCAGCAAGGAGTAACAGGCATTGGGATTCGGGGACGATCCTGCACGTTCCAAACCCCAGGAGCACAAAACCGAGGACCCTCCGCAGAGGACCAGACCTGAACGAAACCTCTAAGATCAAAGGGGCAGGGCCAGACCTCATGAGGCCAAAGCAGTGAGAAGCCAGGAACCAGCAACCAACCCTTGCTGCTTCCTTGAGATGTACAACCCAAGGACACCAGTTTCAGCGAAGAGCTTGTAAGCCTGAAAGCTCAGAGGGAGCTGTTTAAAAGACTGAAGTCAGGAATTAAGAGTTTCCTACCAGAGCTGGGCCACCTCAGGACCTCATAAATACTTATAAATATCTGCAGGGTGGGTGTCAGGAGGATGGGGCCAGACTCTTTCCAGTGGTGCCCAGCGACAGGACAAGGGGCAATGGGCACAAACTGAAGCAGAGGAAGCTCCAGCTGAACATGAGGAAGAACTTCTTCCCTCTGAGGGTGACGGAGCCCTGGCCCAGGCTGCCCAGGGAGGTTGTGGAGTCTCCTTCTCTGGAGATATTCCAGACCCGGCTGGACGTGGTGCTGTGCA